TGGCTTTCCCACCTTAGCTCCGGCATGAGCCCTGCTGAGATCCTACTGACTTTTCATGGGAGCTGGGCTGTGCCTCGTAGGTGTGAATCTGAATTTCTGCTCCCTTGAATGAGGAAAGGCAGAAGGGAGCGTTTCATGTCAGGCTGGGGCTGAAAAGAGGGTTCTGGGCTGGGCTGGGCTCAGCTCAGGGATCATTATTTTTGTTTCCAGAAAGCGAATGAGGAGAAAGCAAGTGATTCTGAGTTGTTTTCCAAGGAAACTAATTTTAAATCCAGCTGCCCCAGCGTGCTGCCTTGTGCCCAGCCCAGGCCAGGCGTGTGCTGCGTGTCCCTCGGGTGCCTGGCTCGGGCGGCAGAAGGCAGAGCAGCACCTTGGGTGTGGGGAGGGTTTGCAGGACATGGTGAGCCAGGCTGTCCTGGGGAGGGAGATGGGCCCCCCCGGCTCCCGGCTCCGTTGTCCTTGGGTCCAGTCCGTGGCGTCGCAGCCTCTGCGAGGCTCTTCCTGGCTGGGCACAGGAACCCTGCTCAGGGCTGACTTTCTGACTCCTTCCCTCCCAACAGTTCCCCCTTATTTAAAAAATGGCAATTTTGAGGAAAACAGGAGTGATTCTTCCCTCTGGCAGCTCTTTCCCCTGCACCAGCTGCTATACCAGGCGGCGAGTTTAACCCCGTAGTTTTTAGGGAGAGCAGGCTTGTTTGCCGAGGGATGGGCAGGGTGAAGGTGTCGCCTGCTGCTGGGTGGGATATTGGTGCTTCAGTACACGTTCTCTGGATGATAACTTTGTGCAATCCTTTGGGGCACCCAGGGCAGGATGCCCCAGGGTGAGGTGGGTCAGGGCTGCTGTCGTCTCCAAAAAAGCATTAAGGCTTCCTGCCCTGAGGAAGCCCCCGGCTCCCTGCCGGTCCCCTTTCCTGGCTGTCCCTGTCCAGGGGATGCCGTCTTTGGCCCCTCTGCCCCTCCCGGGTGCGTTCTCCAGTTGACACCAGTGGTAGCTCCCAGGTCGCGCACACTCCAAGACCTGCTTTTCATGTGCTTCACGCTGACTTTTGTGGGTGCTTTCTTTAGGGGCAGGAAGGAGGGATGCTGTAATTGGATAACAAATTAAATTTCAGCTTCATTCACGAGCAGATTAAAGGGTCTTCACGTGAGCTGGCGGTGTGGCATTGCCCGAGTAGCTCCATTTTCTTTATCAATGCTCGGATGTTTGGATTTTTATTCTCCTTTTCTTTTTTCTCCCCCCTCAGTTCTTGTGTTGCATTATTCGCTTCCCGATTTCCTCCCCAATTTCCTCTCTCCACGCAGCCACGTTTCAGCTGCAGCAGTGCACGAGAGACACAAAACCGAGGGGAGGTGACCCCGTGTATCCGTAGCCTGCTGCGCTTCGTTAGCAGCTGGGGTCAGGCACCACTTGTTTCTCGTCGTTCTGCAGCGGGGCAGCGGGGAGGTGGGCTGCTGCGCCACGGCCTCCGCCTTGGAGCAGCCTCTTTCCGATAAATGCAGCGGCACAAGGGATGCGCAAGGAGCTGCAGACGATCTTATTGAATGGAAGGAAAGAAACCGCACAATTTATCCCCTTATTCCACACGGGCATCCCTCCTGCGGTGTTCCGACAGCGCAGAGCGGCCCGCTGGCACTACCACAGTGCCATCCTCAGCTCCGCAGCCTCACTGCGCTCCTCCTCCTCCTCGGGGCCACCAGCAGCTCCCTGCTTGGCGTCCTCAGCCCGGATTTTGTCACAAGTGCTGTCTCCCACAAAGAAGACCTCGATGCTTTCTGTTACTTCGGCTTTCCTTGCGGGCCACTTCTCATCCTTGTCTTAAAACAAGTCCCCGTCCCAGCTCCCCAGTAGCTGGAGAAGCACGTTCCCAGCTCTGCACCTCCTCAGACATCCTCACTGTCCCTTTGCTGCCAGCTCCCCTCTCTCCTTCGGTGGTTACCTTTCCCTCTCTCACCTTGTCATCGGCAGCTGCGGGGCTTCA